TAAAAACTGAGCACAGCATGTGTCGTCGGTGTTAGTGGTGACAGTCGGGGACTTACATCAGTAACATTGACAACTCCGATCTGTGGTCTGAACAGATCCACCTTGAAGGTCTTCTCCCAGTAGGGGATCAACTGAACAGAGTCAGCAGGACAGAAAGAGAAAGAGCATGAGGTCTGAAAATAATCTACATTTTCAGGTTTTCCTTTTGCGTGTGTGTTTCTTTCTTTCTTTTTTTTCATTATTTGTCTGCTTCTCTTTCTTCTCACCAGTGGAAAGTCATCGGGATCAATCCAGACGATGCTCAGCTCAGGTAGGTGAGTGTTGTCTCTGGCCACCTCCTTTAGGATTTCCAAAAATTCATAACCATCTAAAAAATAAAGAAAAAGAAAATAAAAAAAAAAAACATCCTAAAACTTTCTGAAAAAATTCTACCTCCTTAGGCTGACCCTGATCCATTTTAAAGTCCATACCTTTTATAATTTTCATTTTACATAAGCAGTCCCTGAGGACTGAATAGTTTAGCCTTCCATATCTGCAGGAAATATGCTCAGCATCTCATGTTTACACTCGAGTAAAACAGCGGTCCATCGTTATATAATATGCTCTCACCAGGATCCTCCTCTTCTGCAAAGGCCACAATGTGAATGCCTTCAATATCATCCTCCTGAGAGAAAGAGACCAAAGTGTGAATTTATTTAAAGCATTTGGGAAACTAAAATTAAAATGATTAATTTTCTCACCCAGGTCTCAAACATATCTTCTGCACGCAGCTTTCGCAGTGTTGGTCTGACGGCACAGAAAAAAAAACATTCGATGTTAAATTGAAAATATATCTTTATACTTTACTAAAGTCATAAAGTACAACATTAATCTTTTTTTACCGCCTGTGTTCAGTTATAAATTCCACCAGCTCCTCCTCAGAGTGAGGTTTGCCTGGGATGGACACGGGCTCCTCCATGAAGGGCTCATAGAAGTCTACCTCATTTAACTTCAGACTCAGCTCTTTGGCCACCTACAGCAACAAAAACTGACCTGTTAGGACTACACATGCAAGTGTTTCATTGCCTTATGTGTTTGTTTGTAACTTACAGATTTCTCAAATGTAGCAAAAAACTTAATGTAGGGCTGAAACTGCTCAGCGGCTTCTTTAAAAGCTTCATAGTCTAAGGTAAAAAAGAAAGAGGAAGAAAGAACAAGTTAGCTTTTTAAACAGTTTTTTTCCTTGTTTTTTGGACGTACATCTGTTTGTCCTTTCTTTGGCCAATGGGTACTTGACATTTCCACAATGGGGAGCGGAAATAGCAGAACTTTGACCTCAGCTTATCACTCCCACAGCTGGTCAGATGGGATGTATCTGCAAGTTAACTATACTACGCTCAGTTGTTCCACAGCGTGTGAAAGGGCGGCCAGGCAGTGGCAGCTGCGTGTGCAGTAGCGGTAAAAATGGATCTGTAAATCCATGGAGACGAGTGGGTTAAAAATCCATGTTGTAATGAAGGGCATGGGCCACAGAAAGTCCTTCACAGATCCATCTAACGAGGCGGTGTGGTGTGTTCAGACTGAAAAAAAAAACACGAGTTTTACAAATATACACACTCACGTTCGGACTCTTCGCTCTTGAAGTAACCAATGAGACGTATGTCTTCCTCCATCCTGTCAAAAGCTCGCAGCTCCAGAGCATTTCCTATGATTTCCACTGGTTCCTCCAACAGCTAGAATATAAGCATAAAGCAAAAGGAAAGGATTGCAGGGTGTGACTGGTGGTGATTAGCGCAAGCAACTGGGAATCAACCCTCAAGCAAGTTTACTTACATCCAACAAGAACTCGGCCAGAGTGTTAGCAGAGAGCAAACCATCAAACTCGATAACTCTATCAGCCTTAAAAACATACATGCTTCCCTCTTCCTCTAAGCCTGCGATCAGAAGAAATGATAAGACATTAGATTCAGTCAAACACCTAAAGTTGTCCGACTCTTAACAAAAATGACTGCTATCAAAGGCAGTTCTCTTCATCAAAATCTACCAATCAGACTGAGGTTAAATAAAAGACTTAGTCTGTACCACTACCAATACTCACCCAGTTTCTTTGCTATCTTTGCATCTTTGTGGGAGTCAACCATTCCAAACCCGATGTCCTTCTCCTCCATAACCTGAGCTACAAGCTGCAACCAACACAAAAACATCACAGAGGACTAAATTGTAAGAACAGGACTGAACACATAGCACGTAAATAGGCAAGACAAAAAGAAACTTTCACTTTGGCTTCTGAGTACTGGAAACAGTAATGCAGGTTCGGTTAAAATGTTAAATGGGACTGTTTGTGAATGGGAGCTTGACAGCATGACCAAAGTTGGCAATATGACAGAGGTGTCCAAGCTGCCCACACAGAGATACGGTTACATAATCATTCAGACTGCCTTGTTCTAAATATAGCCAGGTAAGTTTATACACATGACTGGCCTGGCAATTGTGGTGTGAAATAAGGTGGATGAGCTTCACTAATACTTTGATTAACTAATAATCAAGATTGGTAAAATTATAACATGGAGTTTAAAAAGAACTCACGAGTGGATCTTCATTTTATTTATTTTACAATCCTGTTCCAAATGAAACAGTGAAACAAAAAAAAAAAGAAAATAGAGCTCAGTGTAGTTACTAATACAGGATTACTTTATTGCGTCTTTAAATGGACGTCTGCTTTTGGCAGAAATATCTACTTATATGAGCACTTTCATTTCACATGTCCATCCATCCATCCATTTACTTCTACTTTTCCACTTCAGTGTTGTGAGGAGGCTGGAGTCTGTCCCAGCTGTCACGGGGTGAGAGCTGTGGTTGCCAGTCTTTCAAAGCCTGACTTAAGTTCATTTCAACAACTTTCTTTACTTTTACATGCACAAACAAAATGTGCCACAACTTAATCCTGTCTCTGGGAATTTATATTTTAATTTTCCCCTGTTATATATGAAATTACAGAGTGTCATTACTTGGATATACTCAAGTAAAAATAGACTTATTTAAATGTATTTTGCCCATGATGGGGACAGACCTCAGAATACTACAAATTGTAGATATTGGGGGTAAATAAGCTGATATGTGGCATACTTGAGCTTCTCACTTACAACCAGTAGACTCTAATCAGCTATTACAAATACACTGTGCATGGTGTCATGTTTGCCTTATTGAGTAACTACGTGGCCTACCTGTTCTGCCTGCACGTATGGGCTCAGGTTGCCTTTAACATTTCAAAGAGCAACATGTCCTCCACCATGTGTCACACGAGACGGGTAGAATGAACAGTTTCATACAGGATTCACAAAGACAGACTAAAATCTCCTATATAGACATGTCTCCAGCTGCTTACTCAATCTAATAAATACCTTTAATATACCAAAGAAGAGAAGGTCGCATCAGCCTTCACATGTGTGGCTTAAAAACATTATATAAATGAGCTCTTGGATTATTTCTGCCAGCAAAGAATAATCACAAGGAGAATAAATTTCACGCATTTCTGTGGAAAGGAGGCACACACTGAATTGGCTGAAATAACCTGAAGTGGCAGCACTGCATCTCATTGCATCTGTGCACACAATGACCTTGAGGAAGCTCATATATACAGAGATTAAAATGGAGAGCTCTGGAGTTTTATAGCTCACCAGGTCCCTCTCTGCTTATTGTAGCACTAACATAGAGTCACTTATGAGTCTGTTTGATGGGATTATGAGCGCCCTCTGTCTCACACCGCTGTCACCCAACCAAATCATATGAGTTTTCCTTTCTTTGCTGCATCTCCTTGAGTGCTAACTCAACTTTCTTTAAAGTTATCTGCACTTTTCTCCCTGACCTGTCAAATCTTTTTCTGCACTGCATGCATTGATTTCTTTTTCCTTATACTTTACCTCCAGCACCAACTCAGTCATCTGGTGTTGTTTTTGCAGTTCCTTGCTGTCTGCTATGGGCTCATGGTAGAACAGGCAGAGCATGCTGTGCTGCTTTAAAGCTTTCTTGTAGTTCTTGTCATTGATATCAAGAACACGGTCTTTCCCATCATACTGTGGCAACTCTAGGCCTTTCTCAGACAGGGCCTGAGGCACAAAGTTTAGGCAGGGGAGCAAGAACAACCACAGGGAGAGCATGGTCCAGAGTTATCACACACCACCAGAGTATGAGTTAGTTTCACAGTATAAAGAAAGTGCACGGTCAGAAAGGTCACCTATAAGGCCTATGAAAGGATGAGGAAATGTAAGAAACAGAAATATTGCTGGTCCGTCAGTGGCAGTTTGCAGGCATCCCCCGGTGTCCAAAGAAATCCAAAAATTTAACGTATCCTCTGGGCCAAGAAACTCCTTTCGTCATTACTTCTTCACGCCTGCAGACACAAAGGCGAAAGAGGAGTACTGCAAGGGCTGCAAGACACTGGGGGTGGATACCATACATAGCAGCACTCCCCTTCCACTACTCATGCAGGATAGGCCCATTTTTAGGAGACCAGTTGTTTGAATGCTAAAAATAGAAGAGCAAACTGAGAACAGAGGATAGCGAAGGATGACAGTCAGGGTTTAATAATGAGTTACAGTACTTGCTCACTGTGATGTCTCTTTGGGAGAGTTAGTAATGTGGGACAAGCACGCTGAGCACTAGAGATTTGAGGGTTTAGTTATTCTGAGATATCGGTGAAGACCAAAAGTCCACAAGGAGCTTGGTGCTACAGTGGAAAACGTTGGTGTATTTTAATGGAATCTGGCAACAGATGTGCAAAGGACAAGCAAATAAAAGAACAGTCACTGTGCTGCTGTCCAGTGTGTTGATAATATAACAGCTTTTGCTTTGGCTGGAATGTGATTGAATTGTTATGTCTCACTGGCTTCTCATAACTAAATGTACCTCAAATGATTTTAACACAATTTTGCGAGTGCAAAAACTGCATCTTTAATAACCACTGAAACCACAAAAAAGCATTAGAAACACTTCTACTTTGGTGTCTTGCATTCATGCTCCTGCTTGAAGTACTGCAGGTGCTTATAAGATCTCGGGATAGAGGTACTGCTGCCCTCCTCAGGCCAAAATATGTACGGCTGCTGACAAACCTTTTCATAGCACTTTTGGCCACAGCACAGCAGGAATGCATGTGCAGGTGTGATTACACAAAGCTGAATCTTTGAAAAATGTGCATGAATGTCAGAATGTCTTTATGTTCACTATGCACTTTTGTTGCTTTGGAAACCTTAGACCTCTGATACTTCAATTACATTTTTAGAGTGCTACTTATCAAGTAAAGTTCTGCCCAAAACTCACAGCCCATACTTACTTACAACAAGGGAACACTGACTGTAAGTTGAGTTGATTAGTAAAGAAAATGAGATAATAGGTGCCATCTGGACACATGCAGCAGATGGCCATTGGCAGAAAAAATGTTTTTATGTGAGTGCTGTCCAACAAATACCTCTGGAAATTTACATCACAACCATCACAATGGTTAAAAATGATAAACCTTTATTCGGTGTACCTCCTCCTTTTCTTTTTCTTTCTTTCTTTCTCTCTCCGTCTCTGTCTTGTCTCTAGGTATGTTTGTGTGGGTGCATATATGTGAGAGTAAAGAAACAACAGCTCAAAGTGCAAAATCTTTATAAGCTTCAAAGCGCAACATCTCAAAATCTACATTTTTTTCCCTAATACATTTCCAGTATTGCATTGTTATACATCTACATATAAGCTGTCCTTCAGAAGCTCATCTAACAGGTTAGCAGTAGGACATCAAGAAATAACTTTGCAAAATCTGCTGTTGTGCTCATTAGTAATGGTAACTGATTAATGATGGTTCTTTTTTTATATGACTTTTTTTTCTGCTGGTCTTCACAGCAAATCTCTGCTGTGACCTCATTCTGCCCTCATTATCTAGCCTCAAAATTAGCTATGATATCGCCCTGCTGTTTTTGAGCAGTCCAGTCCTCCTTGATGTATTGGTGGTAGGGGTCATTAGAGTGCTCCCTCCTTTTAGATTTGACTGTGTTCACCAGCATGGCCACAATAATGAAGGCAAACATGCCGATCATCACGGCGAGATACCAGATCACGTCCCTGAAGTTCTCCTCAGCCAGAGTCTTGTCCAGAGAGTTGCTTGCAGCTGTCACGTTGCGCCTCCAGTTATCCAGGAAGTGATTCAGTGCGTTGGTAAGGGACGTCTCAAGATGAAGGGTCAAGTTTGACCAATTAGTGTCACTCAACTAGTTGAAAGAACCACAAGACTTTTATCAAAAAATGAAAAAACATGGAAAATTTATTTTATAGCCCCATTTGTTTGCTTTAAATCCTGTAAATCCAAAATCTGCTTGACACAAACACAAAAAATAAAGCAAAATATAAAGAAGAAAAAAAAAGAAAAAACAGCAAAGAAGATGTTCTTGGGTATTCTTTAATTCAATTTTCATTCAAAGTTGAACTTTCAATTCATTTGATTCGCGTCAACAGTACTTTACTGTTTTTTATCAGCATAAAATGTAAAACACTGCAAGTCTGATCAAAACATGATGTTAGGTTTTTTATTGTTACACTGAAATTCTTTCTTTAATTGCTTATAAAAGAAAGAGCATAGAAAACTGACATGCACCCTTCATGTGCCCTTTTGAATACACAAAGTAACACATTTGTTATCAGGTGAGAAAATGAGTTTTCACAGCTCAAAAACAAAAAAACAAGTAACAGTGCATTATTTTTCCTTTATTTATTTCATTTAATGTCACCTGAAGACAAATTTGCTCTTAAATATACAGAGATAGATTTAACAATTTAACATTACTGAGTGACTATAAACATTTAAGCTTCAACTGTACCAACCTTTTGCCATGCTTGAGAAGGCCACATCATGGAACTGATCAGGAAATCACTTTGGAATGAAAGCAGAGAAAAACAGGGAGAGAGCACAAGAGCGTCGCCGGTCAGAGTAACCTACGAAGTAATTACCTCACAGAAAGCTGCTTATATTTTATTTGCTGTCTTTATCTTTCGTGTGTGTGTGTGTGTGTGTGTGTGTGTGTGTGTGTGTGTGTGTGTGTGTGAGAGGCATGACCTTGAATAAGGCATATTAAAATGTTGATATTTGCTTTGGATACTTGAGACATAAGAGTGCTGATAGTGGTTAAAAGGTGAAAAACACATTTATACGCCCATTAATTCCCATATAACAAAAAGAAATAACATCACTTTATAGTTATTGGCTTGGCCTGACTTGTTTGAAATGTAATTCCTCATTTGCCCTCATAGAGGGAGCGCAGTATAAAATTGAGAGATAGCCAGTCTAAAGCAGTTTTAAACAGGCTTACCCTAGATGGCAGCAACACGTAATGCAACACATTTAAGAGCCATACACATATATATACATACATATATACATATACATATATATATTAATGAATTACCCCAGTAAATCAGTTCTCAGATTGCAAACACTGCTTGACTCCATATTCAGCGAAAAACCAAGGAATTAAAATGAAGTCCTTGTTTAAAGTAAATTGACCAGCTGTCAAGAGCAATAAGAGGTCTGTCTCAAGGACACTCCAGCTTTGTGTCTGTGTGTAAAAAGGATGCTTGATAACATACTTTATAATTGTTTGAAAGCCTGGTGTTTTTGCCCAACAGAGCCACGTTGCTGTAAGGGATGACTCCTACTATATCTGATCATTTCCAGATCATTCATGCTTTGTATTGCTGGGCCAGCAGTTGGATAGCTGCTGGGTTTCTTCCCTGTAAACACAAAACTTAAGGCATATGGAAGGTTTTGCACAAAGAGCATTAGTGCAATGAGACACAGTGAAAAGAGTTGTCTCTAGCCTAAAGGAGAGAGACAACAGAAGCAGAATAGATGAAAACAGTAAGTCTGTAACCCGATAGACATTCTGTGGAATATGTCTTGCAAAATTCCTCAACCAGTGTGCCAAAAAGAAAGAAAAGGGGGGAAAGAGTCTTAAAAAGTAAAATAGAAACTGCCTTATCTACTTTGCAAATGTAGGTCCTCCTGCTAATGCTCTTCTCGTGGAAAAGTTACAGGCTGGTGTCTGATGGAAATTTTCATGTGCAAATCAGATAAAAGGAGATTTTGCATAGTAAAAAAAAAAAAGTCCAAGTGTTTCAGGGTCTCCACGCTGACCCTGGATTTTTTCTCTGTTTCTCTTAACTCTGGTCAGTTTTCAGACACTTTTCAGGTGAATTTTTCCAGTTGGCTTAGTCTGATGAAAGCTCCTTACAACACAATGTGTGGTGAAATGGACGGACAGCCGGAGACCACATGTCATGCTTTCGCAATAAAAGGCAAGAGTACTACATCAGCCTCGAGAGAGTTGTTATCTCATCCACCTTATGTATGAAATGAATGGAAAAAAATAACATACAGTTATATGAACAGTTTGATTGTTGCACTTAATGCAAGCATACAGCAGATGTGCATTAAATAAGTCACTCAGAGTCTGTCGTATATTACTACAATTACCTGTTGTAATGATGCTTTAGAGTACAAAGCAACTATAGACTAGTTGACAGATTAGCTTTTGACTTGCAAGGTTTAATGCAACACTAGTGAGTGTGACATTAATCGTTACCCTTAAATCCTTAATTGCAATTTATAATCTATATAATCTTACTTATGATATCATCATTCTCATGCGTTTTATGTTCATGCATTTCTAAAATTGCAGACACTTACTGTCACAGGCAGCAAATGCAGGTATCTTAGTTAACAAGGTTTATTTATAAACCATGTTAACTAAACGGGTTTATGAATCAAAGAGGAGTGCGGCAATCATTTATAAGGTCACAATCAAGCAGCACTAAAGAAAAACTGCTTCAATACTCTGACATGAAAGCTAAGAAAACTCCTAAAATGACCTCTGATTATATCAAACTCAATATTGCACTGACATGGGTCCTCTGGCATGGAGTCCTGAGTGCTTTCTAGAAATCCAGGGCTGTGTTGAATACATGTTTTTTGGCTTCTAAAGGGAGGCAGATTGAAAAACTCTGAGATAAATTAAGTACAGAGCCAGACAGAGAAACTGAGTTTCCCCGAATTATTAGTAAAAGGATGAGTGGAATGTACAACAACGTGATCCGAAAAAAGGGCAACACAGGCAGTCATCGCAAGCCTGGCTGGATTAAACGTCAGTGGTCACGGAAGGACCGGATGGCAAAAGAAACCCCAAGGGCGAGGGTGACATATGCAAAACAGAGGGCAGTGCCACCGGACGCAGCGAACCATAGTGTGTAGCTAGGCCAGAAAGTTATATAAACTCTGAAATGCAGATTTAGAAACGCAAAAAGAAAAAAACACACAAACTACACACACACTAAAACTACATTCTGATCATTCTTCTTTGTCACAATACTTGCAAAAAAAGCACACTCAGTTTCCTCAAAAGAGCTTGTGTGTATGTTCATGGGGTCCTGGCAGCACTTTACCATGAAGTGTTGGTTTGCAAATTCTGGGTTCACATGAGTCAGTGTTCATGGTTATATAATCATCGACAAGTACAGTCAAGACTTGTCTTTTCAGTTGATCAGGTATGTAGCAGTTCAATAGATAATACCTTTCTAAGAAAGAGGGCACCTTGATGCAAATTTCAATTATGTCTTTTAATCATGTTGACGTCGCTCATGTTTTAACTTGCTTGACACCGAGCCTTTATGTCTTTCCACTGTGATTCACCTGACCTTGGAGCTGCAGTACTTTTCCACACATGAGCATTCTTACGTTAGCATTCTTTCTTCCTATCTCAGTGACTTGGTGCAATTGTAATGAGATACTGCAAAAGATAGCAGTCACACTGTGTTTACATGAGGATGCAAGTGCACGTTAGGGCAGAAAAAGTAAAGGATAACATGAATATTTTCAAAACAGAGATCTCCCTGCGTTTCTGAGTCCTCATTTTGATGCTAAAAACATATGTGTGTATGTGTAAAAGCAAAAGACAGTAATGGATTACCAATGAAAACGTTCCACATACTGGTCATGTGGTGCACACAGTTCAGTCTGTAATGAAACCACAAGTCGACAGGAAAGCTGATGCTGTGATTAATAAAGAAGTGTGGACTTCATCTGTTTGCAGTGGCTGAACGGCCCTTCTTGTAGGGGGCAGCTGCCTGACACTGGCTGTGAAACAATAAAGCAGGAAAAACAAAATAATTAAAGAACAGCCTACACTTTACTGATGAAGACATTAAAGTTGTTTAATGTGATGGATACCCAGTTCGCTAGTCTAACTAGAGATACAGTATGATATATGTCTCTTGGGTCATGGGGTCCAGTAATTATGATGATATTATCACTTAAATTAATGCTCCACAAATTAGACAGGACTAGCTATAAAATGTAAATTATAAATTTTAATCTGCTTTGAAAGGAAATGTTTCATGCACACATTCTGCTGCGGGCCAAAGCTTGGGATATGTTATTAACAAAGTTAAGATGTTTCATTTTTAACAATCAAATGACTCGGCATGGTAACAGAAGGAAAAATACATTGCTTGGCCTAGCAATAATTGCAAATATGATGTTGCTTTTATTTCTATTGCAAGCAGACTTTGGTAACAGTGCTGACCATATGGAAAATTGATGTTTTTCTATTACAGCACGTGCCTGTATTAAAGAAATACAACACATGGCAGGAGAGTAAAGTTCTAACCCTGGAGGGCCTGAAATATAACACACTCTTAAATATTTCCATTCACTCTCACCTATTTGCCTTAAGTTATTGCAGTGAGTTTACTGTCCTATGATAATACTAATGTAAGAAGAGTGATAAGGGTTGTTTATCTCTTTATAATGACATACAGTATTGACCGGCATTGATAAGGATTTAGCTGGTTGCGTATTAACTAAACTGGTCTACTTTTTTTTTGCACATCATATCAATAACTTGCTGCTTCTCTCTGAGCAAACCCTTTATCAGCAGCTGTGTTGTTGAGGTGTAACTCATCAAGAATGTTGTTGTCAGGGGTCAATTTGACCCAGAAAGATAGGAAAAGACCTCGCTGGCTTCAGTGATTCGCAGTTATTGTGTTGGGGCCCTAGACACTAGTCTCCCAGCTGTTATTTCTAAAAGAGGTAAATATTTCCTTTTGCCATTGAAGCCCTATTCCATGGATTAATGCAGAATCCCAGGCATGCCGCCATAGTTTAGTCGGTGCGATGCATTTGGAACGTCAGGAATGCATTGACTATGTGTTTGCCGTATATTTGAAAGGTCACAGCACATTGCATACATGGCTGCTTCCGTTGTCACTTCAATAAGAAAGAACAACAGAGACGTTTTTGATGTTTCAAAGTGTCTGGATAGCAACGTGACCTAAAAGGGCGCACGATACAACTTACAACTTGCAGCTATCTCATTAGCTCAGCTCATTGCAACATGTTCATTTCACACTCAAAGTAGCATTAATAACAAATATTTATCGCTTTCGTTATATACTTACATACTTTAAAAAATCTTTGAACAACACCTAAGTAAAATGTGATCTTAAATATCAGCTAACAACGACCATTAATTGTCCTACAAAGCTGACAGCCCTGAAAGTTTTTGCACTGGACGACATCATGTGAACTGACTGACATTGAAATTGGTCAGTTGGGTTTACTATTAAAGCACAAGAGTCACTAAATGGCTGACTGAATGTATTCAGGTTAAGTTACCTTATCGTACCATCTTGTGAAGTCAGACATATATTTTAAAAAAAGAAAGCCGCTGGGTTGCCTTTCCTGGAACATACTTGGAGGTTACTGGAATAAAAAACCACTTCCATCAGATTTGCATTTCCCAACAGAAGTGGCACACCTCACTGGCAGTGCAACCTCTGCACATAACTTATACTAATACTATATTAATTAAAAGAAACTGT